AACCAAAAAAAAAAAAAAAAAAAAAACCTGTGTAAGAGTGAAAGGGGTCTACATATACTTAAGGGAACTCAAGCCTAAGGTTTTGGAGGTTTTTTTGGCCACACCATGCAGCATGCAGGATGTTAGTTCCCTGACCGGGGATCAAACTGTGCCCCCTGCATTGGGAGTGGTCCCAATGGGAGTGGGAGTCTTAACCACTGTACCACCAGGGAAGTCCCAAGTCTAAGTTTCTTTTTCATGGTTCTTTTGCATGCCAATAGTTTTGCTTCTTTGTTATTCAGTAGTTACGGGCAGTTTTTGTTAAATTTTACTAGTCCCGTTTCTAGTAAGTACCACCCAGAGGTTATATTAACTTGACCATTGTGCTTGGCACATAGTAGATGCTCAATAAATATTTATGACTAAATGAACCTCTTCTGTGTCTCATGTTCCTCACCTATAAAAGCAGATAATAATGCTTACTAGTTACTTAAAGGGATTCCTGGCAGAATCAAAGATGCTAGCAGAAATCACTGGATAAAAAATACTGGTTCGGCTATTTCCCTGAGGCTAGGGCTGTCACTCCTCTGGGGAGGCCCAAGAAAGAGTCCTGCTCTTTTAGGATCTCCTGGACAAGACTCTGCACACAAGGATCCTCTAAATCCCATGCTGGAAAGAGGATGTCCAGACCTTCAGTTTCAAAGAAACTCTGCTCCTTGTTTCCCTCATCAATTAAACAGCTGGGGAAGGGAGAGCTGTAGGATTAGGCATCCCAGGAACTCAGCCAGATTCAAGCAGACCAACAACCTCAGAGAGACAAGAATTAGGTTTATGAGTAGAGAGCAATTCCGACAGTGATGAAAGTTACCCAAACCAGGGACATTTGTGCAAATGGTGGCCTTTAATACTGAGAAAGACTATGCAGAGTGACAGGATAGGACCAAACCTTCAGACGGTGGTGCTGAGCCAGCCTCTCACAGGACCCTAAAGCCTGCTCCAGTAACAGAATAAATCAATTATTTATTTACATTAATATTTGCCCTGGAAACCCAGAGAAGGTCTGAGGCTTAGGGCCATCCATCCTTCCTTTCCTCCTCCCTCTCTTCCTACCTCCTTTTCACCTTCTTTCACTTTCTCAATTCTTTCCCTTCTTCTTGCCTCTCCTTCCCTCTCTAGTCTACCTCCTTCTTTTCCTCTTTCCTCCTCGCTCCTTCCTTTTTTTCTTCTCCATATTCTCCCCATTCTTCCACCATCTACCCATCTCTATCCCTCCAAGCCCCACGTGCTACTCCTCCCCTGCCCGGGCCCGCAGCCCTGCCTCCCTCAGGTTCAGCCTCCAGGCTTAGGGCGGATAGGCAGAAGGGGAGTCCTCAGCCCAGGGAGCATTTGTTGGTGTTCTTCTTGTCACAAGTTTTCAGGTCAGTGCCGGCGGGCTTGTTGCTGTTTCCCTAGCGGGAGAAGGGTACAGGGGTCAGGGTGAGAATGGCTAGCTGGGGTCTGGGGTCACCCTCATGGGCAGTCTTAGCACTGCTCTCCTCGTCAGTTTTTACTCTGAACGCACGCGTGCACAACACGCACACGCACATGCACACACACACACACACATACACTCACGTGCACAGTTGTACTTAGCCCAGCAGAACCAACTCACTGATCTCCGGCCTCCTGACTTGAGTAAGATGTCCCGGGCCAGGGAACTGAAAGCCTAATGGGGAAAGTAGAGATTGATCAGAACAGGTTGGAGGGGAGGATAAGTCTATCTTCCAATACCTCGTCTCTTTGAGGGATGAAGGATGTGGTGTGTCTCACCTCATCTACATTCATGCTGGATTTAGCACTTGTCTCGAAAAATCGGATTCCATGCTCCCGAGCCAACTGCACGGAGTGAAGTGGTAAAAAGAGAGCTGGATGAAGGGCAGCAGCCGAGTCCCTGCAATCTGGCCTCATCTTGGCCCTCCTGGCCCAGTTCTAGAACATTGCCCAGCCTGCTCTTACCTTATCGGCCTGCTCCTTCTGGACCTTCCTCTTGGCCTCCATATCGCACTTGTTCCCCAGTAAGAGGCGCTCTACCCCAGCTGAGGCATTCTGGGACAAGAGGTAAGAGTAAAAGTTGGGTCCTGCTCATTTTCACAGTCTCCTTCATCCTCCAGGTTCTACCTAATTCCCCTGTCTCTCTGGGAGGGTCCTCACCTCTTTGATGCTCTTCATCCAGTTCTGAATATTCTCGAAGGATTTCTCATCTGTGATGTCATATACTAGGATAATGCCCTGGGGAATGGCAGAGTTCACAATGGAGCCTTGTAACATATTCCCCTGTTTAGGCTTCCCACTGCCCTCTAAGTGACCCTGCAAATTCT